TATGTTTATAACATGATTTGAATTATTTATTTATTTAAATTAATCTTTTTTTCAGTTGTGTCAGTTTCAGTATATGTTCATAAATCTGAATGAATCATCTCCCTTAAAAATATCTACTATGAATTTTGAATCTCTCAATTGAGAAATTACTTTTACAAATTTTTTGTGGAGTGTGTTTATACACATATATTTATATACGGTATATATGCATTTTATAATTGCAAAACCCTAATGTAGCAAAGCTTTTACAACTTTTAGAAATATATGGAAGCTTTCCTGGTATTTGCATCTTTCAAAATATTTAAATCTGATATAATACATTTCTAAAGGCGACTAAATACTTGTTAAAAATATATATTTTAAATCCCACTTTCCTGAACCGATGAAACAAAATGACAGCATTTTTCCTTAACACAGAAAGTTTTAACATGAAATGTTTAACTCTCAAAGTAAGTAATAATGGGATCTAACTATTTTTCGCTATTATATAGCTTAATATTTAGAAAATTTCATACTTGGAGAAATATGAGGTCACCAGAAATCTGATCGTATTTAGTGTATTTTTATTATTATTTTTGTTTTAGGGCTGTTTGATAGAAAGGGCTATGTTCAGAAGTCCAGGAATGAAATTAACAAAATTCTATGCTGTTGCTACTTTTAGTTATCAAATAATACTTTTGCTTGTATGTAAGAAAGTATTTTCGAAAGGGATGTAGTCAGATAAAATATTTACTTTGTAGAGACATTAGGTATTTTTTGAAGGCAGGCAAGATGAAAAATTAGCAACGCCTTCGCCGGAAATCGAACCACGGACCTCGAATACGGTCCACTCCTCGGAACCATACACCACTAAGCCGCTAGAAGGCGGGAGAATACCTATGTACCCCCTTTTAAGGCGATGGGTTTTAGGAATCCAACACCAAATACTGGGTGGGAAAATCATTCACACCGTTTTATTCGGGCGCCACTGAGAGCCATTAGGTGATTTGGGCAGGCAAGAGGAAATTAGCACGCCTACGTTGGGTATTGACCACGGACCTCTGGAATACCGCCCATGTTCAGAACCATACACCACGAAGGCACGTAGAAAGGGAGAATACCTATAAAACTACTTGTGAGAAAGGAATTTCTACAGTGTCGCGTTTTTGGATGAAAAGAATGCAACTGCACAAAGATTGCAACAAAATTATATAAAATGTATAGGTTGAAAATTATCCTTGATGAGTGCTAAAATTTAAAACCTCCTCACGAAATTATAATGTGTTTTTTTCGTCATCAAGAAATGCATTTGGGTCCCTCGGGTGTGTCCTCCATGTGGTGATTTCCGTGTGCTAAACAGAAGAATGTATGAAAAAGAACGTCTTACACGTGTGTGAAGTAATGTTGGTATCGTACTTAATTAACGTGAAAAGATTTCCAGTGCATAAATTGAACGATGCGAACATATTGTGATTTTGTGTTCTATCTTCAATTAGACGGCGCCATTTTTCCGTTCTTCTGATTTCGTTTCTTGTGATATTATTTTTTGTATGCTGAGTTGATTGATATATTTAATCCAGAAAATGTTTTGATGAAATAAATAAGAGATTGATGAAAGGAATTGTTGTCTCTGAGGTATTTATGCAAGGTATTTGGGTAAGTAAAGCATTTTATTATTCTCGAGATTAGTTTTCGAAACGCAATGTACTCATTTTTGATTCCAGGTGAGCAAATATTGGGCACGTGTAAATTGATTTAATACTTGTAGGTATATAGTTAGATATATTGTCACATTACAACACCACCTAATGGTGTACAACACCACACTACTGTATGCATTCTTTGCATTGCTAAGCAAAACAGTAAAACGAATTCAATCCTCGTATTTTATATAAGATAAAAATATATATAGCAGAATTTTAACTTTAATTTGCAACAACTCCTCAAATTTCCATTTCAAGTTGGCTGTTTCCCCTTTCTGTCCTAAAACTAGTAACTGCTTATAAGAAATAATTGTAAACTGCGTTGTTTTCAAATTAATCCATGTTATATGATTCTTACTTTTAACGATAAAGTTCTTACATAAAGGCTTCAGCCAATAATGCAGTTTATTCGTTGAGTTTGTAAGGAAGCACCTCATTTGCCCGGTGTGTTCTTGTGGTATAAATAATTAGCAAGACAAGCTAGCCTTGGTTAATCTCTCAGTGAAAGCATATATGATTTGTCATATTTTCTTGAAAACCCTTATAATCTCTACAATAGCTACCCTTTAAATCGATGGAAATGTTACAATTATAGAAACCTCCTATACATGCTTTTGTGGCCCATGTCATTAGCACGTACACCACAAAAATGTGTGGTACGAACATATAGTTAGCATTTGAAGACCGGAGATTCAAATTGCGTTAATGCTTCTTCTTTCCAAAAATTTTCTAGTTCGACACACTATATAACTCATCAATATTCTAGTGGCTAAAGCTATGAGATTCTGGTAGTTCAACATGGGTATCGAGGTTAATTTAAATAATACGTTTAGGAGATTAATATAATTTTAAAAATAAAGGACAGAAACACCTTATAATTTAAAAAAAGTAGCTAACAAATACACAAACACCTATTCTCGACTCAAAATGCATAACCTAAACCCAGAAAGTGAATGGGGAATATTCGCATTTCCGATTGCCCCTATTGAGCGCTCTTCACCGCATCCTTACTACCGGAGAGCGGGTATTTATTGGCTTCTCCTTGAGAGCGTACAATGACCACCTCTTTTCTTCGCTCTCCTATCCCTGCAATATCTTATACCGATAACCGATGTAAATTAATCTACTTCCCTTCTCTTAAGTAACTACTGATAAACTTGATTGTAACGGAGTTACGATAGCGTAGCGGTGATATACGTATTCAGAATTTTCTACTAAACTCTGAGACTACAGGTTCGGGACTCACCCGAAGAATTTAAACTTAAGTTTAATTCTAGCTTAAACCACCATCACTTCCATATTAGTCAACAGTTCAGGAAAGACACAACTTGTAAAATATTGCAAACGAAAGCGTTACGACATTTCCAAAATGAAGACGTTAAGAATTTTTCCTTAGAAAATGCTACTGGAAAATACCTGTCTTACATGCAGATATCTCTTATGTTCTTTAACATAATTAAATAATCCATTCTCCATACGAGAGATATTGTTAGTATGGAATGATATTCATGATATATACAAATGAATGTAAAAATGAAAATTATTCAGAAACGTAATAAAAAATATTGTTATTCGCCTACAGTATTACTCGAAGCTTAAAAAATTATACTGTAATTAACTTACAAATGTATCTAAAATTTTCAAAGCAATTTTTAATACGGAATTTGTAATGCGTTTAAGTTCAGAATCAATATAAAATCTTCATACTGTTTTAAAAAATTCCTATTTTTAAAAAATCTAAACTCTTAGATTTACGCTGTATGTAAGGCAAAAGCAATCCTAGCAATAGTTTCTTTAGACATAAAATTTGCAGTTTAAATAATTTTATCCAATAGCGATTTTGAAGAGGATGTTCTGAGTGGTTTCTGTTTTATAATGCTGTTCATAGATTCATTTTTTTCTGCTTAAATATTCAAAAAGCAGTAACCTAATTTAGATTATCAAAAAGGATCATTTTAAAATTCATTTGCCTTGAAGGGAAAACCTAATCAGTCATACAAGGAGATCAAAAAGAGTACTTACTTTGTATTTGCAGTTGCTTATACTATTAATGATGATTTTGAAATTTCAAAATTACAAAATAATTATTAATTGCAATGAATTCTATTTGCGTTAAGAAAAACAATAATAAAATCCTGGTTTATTTACTAAGAAAATTACTTAAGAGAAAGGATTTTACGGTAATGTGTAATGTAGGCTATATATCTTTTAGCGGCGTCAGAAATATTGCAACGTACTTGAAGTGAAAATGCAGCAGAATTAAGAATTAAAAAAAAATGAGAATTTAGAACAAATAATCTTTTCTTTTAAAGAAAGAAATTAATAGAAGCGTAAGTTTAACTGGGTTAAAGATTTTATTTACAACTGAAAGTCAGCAAAATGGCAGTAAGCCAAGGTTTTTTTTATACCTCGTAGCAAAATAATAAATAAAGCAGAATATAACTGACATAACTAATCGCTTTCAACCGTCTATGGTTATGGCATATACACACAATAAACTACAAATGCCAGAATACAAAACTGACATCATATATATTTTACATTTCGCTGACATGATCATTTCTACATACGTTAGATTTAGAAAGAAATGCCAGAAAATAGTTTGCACACTTACATAGGTCATGATAAAGGAATTCATTTCACTAATACAATAATTTATTGATGTTTTGTGAGAACGGTGGTAACAATTAATTATGACATTGAAAATCTCGATGCTGTCAAGTATGGAATACAGCCCTTGCGTTCTTAAAATGAACATCAGAACAGTTCAAAAATTCTATTAACTACAACCAAGAGAGTTATAGCTCTATTAGCTATCACTCTATTGTCAACAATGTATTTGAAATTTAGGCATAAGTTGGACAAAAGCGCTAGTTAGATTCATATAGAATTAGAGTTAACAAATTATAAAATGACGTTAAAAGGGTAAATAACAAATGATTTTGGAATGGTGGGTGGAAAAGGCGTTAGCCACCTTTACGCTTCTACTCTATATTACCGAAATTGAATCACAAAATGGTATGCTAAATAATTACTATCTTTCTTTATATAAAATGATGTATTAATCATCATCAAATAAGAATGAGCTGTTTTGTAGGAAATACACAAATCATTTTTTTCCATTTAAATACTTTCTGAAAACGAGAATTTAGAAACTTCACATGAAGTAAATAGTTATTTTACTTATTTTCATACCTAGATGGAAATCCATACTCTTTTCTAAAGTATTTAAGGTTGTTAATACTAATGTTACCACGTTCTAACAAAATATTTACCTTTCTTGACTGATATAATATAGTTATGCATATCCAGTGTATGTTTCCACAAAAACAAAAGTTCTGAATTGAAGAAGTTATAATATTTCTAATTTATTCATTTCAGCTTGATTTCTAGGATTGTGTGTTTCAGCACCATGATTACATTGAAGATCTACAGAACAACATACTTAACGTATACATTTATCACAAGTTTTACAATTGAATTATAACAATATATCTCAGCATCATACAGACTAAGGAAGTAGCCAAGTATGGCTTTTCCCGAATCATGCACATAATGAGCAGTCCATTCAGAGTCTTCTTTGACTGCATCGATTTGCTTTTAAATTGCAATGTTGTTCTTTACAGGATGCCTTTTGCGATTATGCAGTGATCTCAAAGTCTGCATTCTATTATGTATTACCGAAATTGCACTACAAAATGGTATGCTAAATAATTACTATCTTTCTTTATATAAAATGATGTATTAATCATCATCAGAAAAGAATGAGCTGTTTTGTAGGAAATACACAACTCCCTTTTTTTCCATTTAAATACTTTCTGAAAACGAGAATTCATAAACTTAGTAATGGGAAATCATTCAGTACCATTAACAATTATTTATCAATTTGTAGAATTATTGCACTAGATATGCATCAGTAAAAAAAAGAAGAGTAATGAAATTTAATTATGTTGCAAAATATTCCCGGCTAACTCTTTAAGAACAGCAATAAGACCATCCCTTTTGTAAACTATTTAAGACAAGAATTTGCCTTCACAGACTCGAAGAACTGCTCATTTGTGCCAAATTAGCAACCTTTTCTAAAAACAAATGTTATACATTTTGGTCACATAAACATATACATGGACGTTACACGCTATGAGATGAGAATAAGCCTCATTACAGGCAGTAAAACTTCTCACATGTTCTTTTATCTTTATACAGTCCATGACTGTTAAGATAGTTGTCAACTTTTTATAAGCGTACTAATTTACAATCAGTAGAAACATTCTTTATAACAACTGAGTAGATAGAATTACTTTTAACAAGGGAATGTTGGTGATAAAAGAAAATATATAAACATTTAATGACAAACACTTTTATGTATTCCATCATTAAATTTTAACTATCAAACATCTCAGGAGTTTGATAAATATTTAAGTATAAAAGATTCGTATTTTAATATTCAGATATTATTAAAATTTCAAATTGTTTAGACTTCTATTTAAAAAAGTTATAAAACTTAACAGGCTCTGAGTGTGATATGGATCAGACTTAATGCTGAAATACAAAACCAAAAAAACTATAATATCTATTCAGTCATACGACTGAATAATTTTGTAGAACACTGATACATAACTTTGTGCTTATAAAATCTTTAAAGTATAAAAAATATAATACTTTCCTATGATACTAGAGCTAACAGAACATAGTTATCATAAAACAGAATGGGATTTCTTTTTCATCCAAAACAAAAGCCTACACTTGTGCATACTTTGGACATCATCTTTGAAATCAGTTAAGTTTTCATTATCTCTTTACAATATCAGTGGCTGAACTGTATGAATTGAAGCATATGTCTGTGTTAAGGTAGACCGATAACCCTCGTGTGCTTTCCCGTAATCCAAACAATCTGCTCGTAATCGAAGTTAAGGTCACACGCAAAGGTTATAATATCTTAATATTTTGACCCAGAGAACAACAGTACAATTAAAAATGAGTGTATAAAATAGATGTAAAAGTAAATGAATCTTCCCAACATTAACCTCAATAACTTGTTGCTGAACATAAAAAGCAAATGTAGTTAAAAAAATATAAATAGGCACTGAAGAAAAGAAATGATTTTGATTGTCTCTTGTTTGATTGTAAATGTCACGGTGGGCTAATTTGAAATCAATCAAAAATATGATTCTTTCTGATTTCTTTGTGCATTTTCCCCGACATTTTTGTGTATGTTGGATTGGGAGCTACCAGGTTTGGTTCCGAATTAAATCTCTGCTGCTGCTAAATTCCTCGGTCCCTCTTCTAAATTTAAAAATTTTGCCTTCCGTTATGGCTGCATCGACTCTGATGCCGGCCTTATCTGTATGATTATGTCTTTATGATGTATATCGGATGTTGCACATTTAGTTCTCAAGTATAAGCTTGTAGTTTGCATTTAGAGCTTTTGTACCAATTATTGTTATTTATTAGAAGAAGAAGCAGGTCCAAATGAAGTCAAAGTTCTTTACATATTACTCAAGTAAATGATAATTTTGCTGTTTCTAAACAAGATAATCTCTCGTTTCTGGGAGTCGTGTGATGCAAGCTGCTCCTGTCAATAAAACTGCACCTGATGTAACGATTGGAATGATTTTGGTGATATCAGTGGCACTTCCCAGTGATATATTACTTAGAATTGCAGCCAGACGACTCACTGCGGCAAATATTCCATAGCTGGTTGTTCTGAAAACAGACAAAAGAAGAATAAGAACGACCAAAAGAAGAATAACACATAATGCAATTAAACAAGAAAATTATCAGCTTTATAAGATCCACTAAGGGGAAATATAATATGAGTCAACGTTAATGTAGTTAAACAAGAAAATTATTACTTTTACAAAAACCGCAACAGAAAAGAAGGTTTTGTTTTTCCAGGAGATTGAAAAAAAAGTAACAATTTAGCTATGATTGGTAATTAAAGACTGAAAGTATTACCTTTTTATACTTGCAAACTACACAGAACTAAGCAACGTTCATGCAACGCTTCATAAGAAAATAAAACAACGCTCTTAAACTACGGTGCCAAAAATTTAGGTGCAACTTTATTTACAAGATCTTGACTGCTCGTCCTTCTTTCATTAGCAATAGTAGTGAAAGTAAGCAGTTAAGGAAACAGTTCTCGATAAATATCAGCGGTACATGAAAGAAGTGGACATCCTCAAATGAGACAAAACAGGGATAGCCTGCAGTTGAGAAATGCCAGTAAAACGGCCATTGTTGTCATCATGAGGAATGTATCTCACCTGCATCTCTCTAGAATCATGATTGTATTACGGGTAAGTGAAATTAACTGTGTTCGCCTGATAGGAGGAATAAAGTTTTCAGCTCTTTCGAGTAAATATACTTCTTTGCGAAGAACGGAGACCGCGCAAGACGACTACTTTATCTAAATTTAAGTTTGTCTTAATTAATTTCCATTGCCACAAGTGGTGATTACCTATAGCACAAACGCCTTTAAGCCAAAAGTTCAGTTTAATAAAAAGGTTGTTAAAAACCTTCAGAAAACTCTGTCGTACCATTTAAGACATAACAATAACACGCTACTTGTTTAGTAAGGTTGCAGGACTTCAATTCAAGTGTCTAACTCAAATACAACCTTTTAACAGTGAAAATTTAACTTTTATTGACCATTCACTTACTCGCTAGGTTAGACATCTTATGGATTACTTTGTTTTCTCTTACATTAGAGGACACATATTTGATAGAATAACATAAATAAAGAAAAACTTAATCAGTCACTGAAGATGTATTCCCAATGAAAATTTCTATGGAAGTATACAGAAATTCTATGAACTTATTAACAGATATTTTGCATTAGAATGTTTGTTTTGGTTTATGTAACTACGGCAAATCACTTGAGGGCTACCTGCCTAAAAACAGGGATGCTTTCGTGGACGATATTTAAAGGAAAACTTGCGTTATAAGGGAAGCATTCTAAGGGACGACGTTTTAAGGCTTGTACACACGTTAGTTATAGTTTGAGAAAAACCACACGATGCCCACGCAGCCAGCCTGTTTGTTAGGATTCGAACCCCGGACCGAATTATCAGTGTTGACTTTACCGTTCGGCCGCTGGTGGTCCTTATCATTAGAAAGAATGAATGCAAAAGCCTAAACAAATAAGCTCTTGATTTAACTAGGATTTTACCTTTTATCATTTATTATATTTTTATTTTACGAATTAATTTATAAAAGTTTAAGTAAGGATTATATATAGATAGTATTCATTTGTTTTAATGACGTGCTCAGGCGATTGGTTCTTTTTTTGGAGAAGCATGTATCGTAAGCATTTGTTAACTTCATGTAAACGTAGACGACAAAATTGGAGATAATGACTAGAAAAATCATGTGAAGGAAAGGAAAAACAACGTAAGAAAGCAGCAGTAAAGAGAGAGAAATTTTAATTTATCACCAATAATCAGACTTCTCAAAGATACACGTTTAGCTGAAATCTCTATTAGCGTTTTTCATACGGAGATTAGTTTCATGGAAATGTATAAGCAATTTGTGAAAATTTAGCAGGAAATAGTGACTCAAAACACGACGTCACTTAAAAAAAAACCAAAAGAAAAATAAAATTTTGCCTCAAATGCATTGGTTAAATTCATACCGCGAAACATTTAGGGCTGTTTAGACACTAATTGTTGTAAAATACATGGTTCTGACGCATTAACAGGTAAAAGTTTACCCAAGGTTTTTCTGAGGGTACGATATTAAACTTGATTACATTACCTGATATTTGCAGGGTAAGCTTCAGTTGATATCACATCCAATGCATTCCAGCCAAAAATAGACAGAAAACTGAATACAGCTTCATATGCTATAATCGCGGCTTTACTTTCAGCAAACCATATCAGCCCTGCACTAAGTCCAGTAAGCAGCAACGAAAAGCCTGAAATTTAAAAAAAAAAAGTTAAAAATAGACGAAGACTTCAACCCTGCTATCTGTTATAAAAGGAATTTGTATAAATGTAAAGGTGCAATTTTTCAGTTAACAAAATGTGAGGAATGAAGCTAGTTTTTCATTATTACAACTGACTTTCCTTAATTTAGAGAACTGATAGATACTTGACATCTTATTTTACAATTATTCAAAAGCAGTTGTTGGAGTTAAGTATAAACGGACTGACCTAGAGTTTTCACTCTACCAGCTCTGTCCAAAACAAATGATGATATTAAGGTACCAGGTAGGATAGTAAGCTGAGGAAATAAATTCTGATAAAATAACTCAGATAGCTGAAAAGTTATGTCAAAATCTAAATCACAGCCACCTGCAAAACAAAAGAAAATTTATTGAATAATATTAAACATTTCAAGAGAAATAAATATTAATATCTTCGCGTTAAACATGAAAAAGAAAATAGTTCAAAGGGACAGAGATTGCATTAATATCATTTGATTTATTTGTTAAAAGCTAAACAAATTCATACAGTCGAAGGTAATGCATGTTTTTCAAAATTGTTTATCAGTAGAACTAGATTTTACTTATAATAAATATTTTAAAAGTCGTTTCTGTGAAGTATATCTAGAAGAAGTTGTAACGATAAAATAATACGGCAGGCTATAAGTCCTTAAATATGTTAATAATAGCCTATCAATCCACATTTCGCATCAAATGCATTTTCAACAGAGGAGCTCTTCATACTATTGCAATACCATTCTCATAATTTTGAGATTATGATTAATATTCCGATTTTGCCGTTAATATGTAGATTAGTTATCTTTAAGAATTCAGCCTTAGGTGGAATTTCGCTCTACAGGAAAGCCCCTTTACATTTCAAGGGATTTAATATGCGTCCATATTTTCCTTTCAGTATAATATTTTTATGAAATCGAGATCAATCTAATTTTATGTAATTTTAAATTCCAAAACTCAACGAATTTCTCTTCCTTTATTCAGTTAGTATTCAATAAATTATATTTGTATGTCTATAAAATAACATAACCGTATATAATGCGTTTCTAAATCAAATAGCAACTTCAAAAAATATCCAAATATTAATTTAAATATTACAACAATATTATTCACTCTGTTTATAATATATAGAAAATGTTACTTAGAATTTATCTGTGATGTTACAGAACTAAATTTAATCTCAAAATTTTAAGATATTATTCTCGTTCTCTGGCAATTGTAAAAGGCTGCTTAAATTTTAGCGTTTGCAGAAATATGACTGCAAATAAAAGTGTCTATTTTTACCTGTCTACCAAGAAATGTACGGTCGGAGCCATAAAATTAAAGTTTGTTACTTTTTTTTTTAATTTTAGTCTTTTACTTGATGAAAAAATCAGAACATTTTTAATTAAACCAAAATAAAGTTTCCTTGTGCTTTGAACTCTGTTGTATATGGGTTCACGAAAGGTGGAGTGGCTTAAACAGTCGAGCGCATGTATGCTTGGAATCCCAATAGAATGGGCTGGTTTTAAGGTTATCTTCATGGTCTTCCCAAAATGCAAGGGGAATGTGAGCGAATTCCTTTTGAAAGTCCTTCATACAGGCATCTTTCCTTCGTATTCGATAAAAACAGTTATTGTAGTTAACTACAGGCGAAGAACCTGCCATTTACTTATTATGCAAATAATTGCGTAAATGGGATTGAAAACTCTCGTGGAAAGAACTTGAAGTGCTTTTCACATTAATAAGATGAAAATGTGCTTCTGCCCTTGAGGCAATGAGTTCCGTAGTGCGATATATTCTTTAATTTGAAAACATATATATTTTTATGAATACATAAATATATATATGTAAAATTAAAAAAAATAGGACGGCTTTGCTCTCCGCGAACCAGCAACCTTTAATTAACTTTCTGCAATTCAGAATCTTCTCCCTAGACCAGTACTTTCCAGAACATTCGAGTTTATTACGTAACTGCTTCTATAAATAGAGAACTCGCGCCATTTTGCGTCAGAAGCTTCCCTCTCCCTATGTTGTTTAAACCTACGCTGCTGCTCCCACCTTCCTTTCCTCTATGACGCAGTAAAATTTAAAGTAATCTTATTTAGTAACGAATGTTGATCTGCTTCTGAAATTGAAATAAAGATATGGAATAGTAAAAAGTGAAATCCTGTGTCTTCTTTAGATACCGCCTTAACACTCTGCTACAGGAAGTGCCTGGACTTTGATGCCAAGCCTCGTCATTCATGTGCCACGACTGCCGTATCATCACATATATTAATATAAACATAAACGTATATTAATATAAACATAAACGTAAGTACTTCATAAACATAAATATGTATTAAAACCACATATATTTATGTTTATATATTTGCGGTTAATTAAATAAATTAGTTAGTAATTAATCACAAAGCAAATCAGGGCTATAAGTCGAATAGGAAAGATGCCTTAATGGAAGGTATTTTTCAGGGAAACTGACTATATTAAGGTTAGAGGGTTCGAGAAAACCATATAAATTCTGTGCAGCCACCTTGTTTTCCAGTATTTGGATCCGGATCGAAATATCAGCATTCAGTGATCTTATAAACTCGCTTCTGGTTAGCTGCAGATAAATGAGAAGGAAAGACGGATTTTATCAACTAGTAAAGGATAAATTATATATTTATAAAAAAGGTAAGTATTTTACCTTCAGAATCTTTCTTTAATAGTTGAAAGAACTTATTTTGTCGGCAAATGAATTATTCTTTCGGCAAGTGAATTATTCTTGAAGCTGAATTCCTTCTAATGCAACAGTTTTGATAAACTTATGCTTTAGTAATTAAGCTAAAAGCTATTTCTTCGCAATTTATTGCGTTAATATAAAATTCTCCTTGCCTTAAAAGTTCTTGAAGTAGAACAATCCACATCAAACTTTTCTCTCGATGCACAGTTGAAATAAACCTATTCTGAAGTCGCGAGTTGCCTGATTTTTGAAGTTTATGATATTTATTTGCATCTCAGTAAAATGTCTGTTACAATGGTAAGTTACATTCATTTCTTTTCCTTTTCCATTAGTGTGATAAAAAAATGTGAATTAATGAAAATGTAGATTTAAAGTACATAAAATTTTAAGGACTTTGTAACTTATTTTATGTTAATTAACCAGTTATTATGAGTTTGATCTCTACTATAATTTCTTCCTTCAATATTCCTGACCAGAGTGCAAAAATGTTTTGTGAGTATTTAAGCTGAGGGTTTTGAATCTGAGTGAGAGTGAGCTTCTAGCACTCGCATCTACTGTTAGTTTTGCCAATTCTATCTAAAAGTGATGTTTTGGGTTTGGCATGGTCTTGATAGCCGATACTTTAAACTTATCCTCCGGTAGAATAATTGAGCCAGCTTATGGCTTACCTTATTAAATGTGTAGTTATACGTTATAGCGTTAAATTGAATTGTGTGTTATCGCTTAATTTAATTTAGCCACGACTAGTGGTTTTTGTTTGTAGCATAAGTTATGCCCTTCTATTCTTATTAGACTAAAACACAAGGCTTTCTTCTGTATTTGTGAATATTTAAGACTTAGTGATAACTCGCTAATCTGTTTAATTAGGGTCTGCAGGACAAAACTTAGCTTCCAGATCAATAGCAGTCTTACAATTTTTATTATAATTTTTCAGAATGAAAAAGAGTTTAGATGAATTCTACTTAATTCAAACTAGAGTAAGTAAGTTATAAAAAGTATTTAAAGGGTTCGAAGGAAACAATCTTTTCTGAGCAAATGTTTCGTAATTAAGACACAATAACACGCCGAACAAATACTAATTCAGAAGTCAAACAACAAAAATCAGCGTTATTTTTCAAATTTTTACAGGAATAGTTTCGATGGTTTTACTGGACCACCATCGAAACTAGTCCTGTGAAAATTTGAAAAATAACGCTGATTTTTGTTTTTGGACTTCTGAATTAGCAAATGTTTCATATTTGTGATTACTGAAATGCTCTCAACTATCTGATGTCACTGAAAACTGAGCAAATTTAAGAGAAAAGAGAAACACGTCAAAGTAGAACATAAAAATTAGGCAAAGGAACTTCCCTGTTTTTGGAGTAGATTTTAGTCAGTAGTCTATCGATTTCGAAAGCAAACACGTACAAATCCCTCTTCATCAGAAGTAAAAAAAAATCTGCTTGGAATGTTTGGACGATTTTGTTTTTCCTGATGAAGAGGGGGACTTTACCTGTTTGCCCTCTAAATCGATAGAATCTTGAATAAACCCTATGACAAAAACAAGGTTAATGTTTTATGTGATGCCGAATTTTATGCTGAGCAAATTTTTCGTATGTTTTGATTATTATAATGCTGACAAAAATTTAATTCTTTGAGGGTTTCCAAGGTCTTAGAGGACCCTATATCATCACATCTTTCTTCATGTCCCTATTTCCTTTTGTAAAATCAAGGAAGCAAGGAGCATGACTTTTGAGGACCCGAAAAGCCCTATCTTTAGGACCTCAGATTGTCTTAATCAGATCTTGCACACATCACTGCGTCTTGTTAATGAAGACTCGTAACTCTTCCCCGTCGCCTTTTAAGAGGTAAGGATTATCGCAATCTTCCTTAAGTGCTGTCACGGTGTAAGTGGTTAAAGCATAAAAATTGCAAAGGACGATCCAGGCAATCTTACTGAGGATTCAGTTCATGTTTTATGTTTCCTGCTTCGAAAAACTTAATAGACTGTACAAGTTTTCAGCAATCATTTTAAAACATTTTAAAACTGCTCAAAGTGTAGTCAAAATAAGCAAAAGTGTAGGTCAAATGATCGAATTTCTTACGCTAATGATTCTCGCTTAAGTAAAAGACTAAAATCCACTACTTAATGTTATGCTCACACAAACAAGCATTATTATCTCATTCAAAATTATCCTGAAATATGAAAATCAAAATGTTAAAACCTGTAAATCATTTTAGAGTCCTTTTTTTTAACAAAATGAAGTACAAGATAGCCATAATTATTGAGCACATTTCAGTGATGAATAGTAAATGATTTAAAGAACTTATCCAATTGTTTTAGTATAAGATAGCCGTAATTATTGAGCACATTTCAATGATGAATATTAAATGATTTAAAGAACTTATCTAATTGTTTTATGCGTCAGATTATGTGTATTGCAGAATAAAGATTATGTGTATTGGGAATAAGCTGGGTAGGAATTCAGCCTAGATAATACTCCTGTATGTTTTTGTAGAAATTCGTAAATGACCATGTTTACGTAACAAAATTATGTAATACTGTTGAAATTTAGCAACGATTTACGGAATTCCTTAGAACAATAACGTCTGTAATGTTGACAAGCACCTGAAAATTTACTGGATTCAATATTTACTGAAATGTGGTACATGTCGCAGAAAAAAACTATAAGGAAATATTTTGCAGTTTTATATATATAGAAAACAAACTGTTGTATTGCTGCATAGTTTAATGTACTGTAGAGACATTAGGTATATGTTTGGAAGCAGGAGAAAAGAAAAATTTGCAACGCCTTCGCCGGGAATCGAACTGCGGACCTCTGGAAATACGCGCTCAGCGTGCAGACCACCATGCGAAGAAGGTGAGAGAAATACCTAATATACACCCCCTTTTAAAGGGCGACTGGGCTTTTAGGGGACTCGACCGCCAAATCCTGGCTGTGGAGATTCATCATAAATAATAATAAATAAAATAAACTTAATATTATTTAATGCGTAGACATAAAAGCTGCAGAATTATTTAAATCTAAGGAACAGCTCCTGTAATGTGTAATAAAATAAACATCAATGAAAATGTTTTACCTTTAGTGTTGAAAAAGTATGCTGATTTAAATGAACAGGTTTGAAACTTGTATCTGTAGAGATCTGTGTCAAGAAACTCAGTTTGATAAAAATCGCAGTTTTTAAAATATGTCTTGCTTGATCGGATGTTACTGAAAGTGCAGTTTGTGAAAGAACAGTCTTGGAAAGTGCAGTGGCTAATAAGCATTTGGTAAAACCTAACATTCACAAAAGAATAATTCGTAATATGGGTATTTTCAATAGTTGTATTAATATTCTCATCTTGAACTACAGAATTGGCCTGCTTCACTGTTTTGGATTTAAAGTCGACTTCCTCCAGTTTTCTTGTGTACTCATGAAGAGAGATTGTTATTCCATAAAACCTAGATAGGAAAGTTGACAGGCATTATTAAGTGTTATAAATTTACAAGAAATTACAAATAGTAATATTGTAAAAGATTTTACTGACAAACTGGGTAAATTTTACATAAAAAATGAGATTACGAAACGAATCTTGAAATTATGAAACAAAGCTTTTCATAATGTACGTTTGTCTGTTATCACTGTCACCTGAATATAGGATACATAAGAAATAATTACAGAAAGTTAGCCGTTGTAACAAATAATGCGATAATGTAGAGTGTATGCTAAGTAACCTATTTTTTATGATTTGGAACTATAAAATCACTTTTCTTTTCATTAACTGCCACCAGTATGCAAATGAGTTGAAGGTATTTAAGGCAGAGTTCTTGAAAGATTTGGTTATAGAGCTTTTGCAGCTACACTAGCAGCAGTACTTTTCTTTCGTCCACCTTTGCTGCATTAGGTAACCGCGTGGAATTTGAGACAGCACTTGGTTATATAATTTGTGCTGTAGTCTCCTGCTATGAATCACTTTAATTTTGAAATCAACTTTCTGTTATCTAAAACCTGTAAGTGGAGTTTTAATTTCTACGCACAAGTCGTGTAATTGTTAAGCTCGAGCTTTTAAGAAAAAGGTTGTTTAAAACCTTCTCAGGACTCTATTGTAATTTCATAGACAGATAGATAACTTGCTTGCCAACCTTGTTTGAGGAACGTTTAGATAATTTATTAGAAAGTAACACTAAAGCAGATGAAATTTTCCACTTTGCATGAATTTTTCACTTTTCAGCGTTAGAAATAATGATCAAAGTTTTCGATTCATTCTAAATTTCTGTTAACGTGATGGAGTGTCTGCTGTTCGTTAATGTCTACTGTTCATTTTTTATTATGTATGCGGTTTATTTTTATAATGAAATAAAGTGGGTTATCGGAACCTGGTCCTACAACCCAGATGATCCCTGAACGGCTTAAAATGTGCTGGAAGATAACTCTGCACCATTTGATTTGGTCAACTGGGTACCAGGTTTCTTCTCTGTTATCTTAAAGCAAAGAAGAATAATCAATTTTCCCCGTGCATGCTCGTATATTTAATAATAGTTACTTCATATAGTTGATTATAGTCATATAGTTAAGAACATTAGGCTAACAGTTTGAAGATACATGTTTCAAACACCGAATTTTTTTCATGTTTCCTGCTTCGAAAAGCTTTAATAGTCTCTAGAAAAGCATTTGCGTATTTTGTGTACAACTGGTCCTTTGCAGGCATTCTCAGTGTATAAAAAAATTGAAGCATTCAAAATAACCCATGTATGTTTGATTTTAATTCAAATGATTTTTACCAGACGATAAATGAAAAATGAGTTGTACAAATAATTAATGATCATGTATTATTTTAAATATTGATTATTTCATGTAAATATAAATTTAAAATGAATAAAGTAGAGCAGACTTATACGTACCCGAATGATGCTGTCATCCATGCAGCCAATAGGAAAAGAGTCATAAATGTGTGCGGTGGAGAAAATACTTGACTAACATTGTCCCAGCACTGCGTAAAAATATAACATTATTAATATTTTCTTTCAGTTAAACGAAATGCTCAAAAGAACAGGAAAACGACACTAAAAGCAATTAAACTGGAAATATTATAATAATGCCAATACGCCTTAACGGAGAAAGCAAGTATTAGATTATTTGTCCGCTACTCTGATCGGTATATACGCTCTTGGCTGCTGTACCCTTGGGTTCAGGTTCGATTCCTGGAGAAGTCTTGAATGTTCGTTTAAATGTGCAGGTTCTGTGCGGCATGAGGCACTCACTACATTGGCAAGCAGAAAAGAGATGGAAGAACGTTCGGATACTTCCCCCGGGGGGGATTTCGTCACCAAAACTTGTGGCGCACCTTTCTTCCTGTGGTGCACCTAGGGGAACAATCTTGGTGATGAAACGGCTAAATGACATTTGTCATTCCGGACGAATGCATCACATTGCAAGTGTCTAGCTATTTGAAACAAATATATTTATGTTATTAGCTAAATCATCAAAAATTATGTATTCTAAATATTTTTAAGATTATGTAGGAAATCTTATTATAAGAGCTTGTATTTGTTTCAAAGATTTCCTTCTCGAAATTAATTTATCTTTCTATTTTTTTGAAAGCTTTACTACCTTAGGTTCGTTATGTCTACAGAGATTTCTTTCTAAGCATCGGAGAACGTGTTTTATTACATTTTGTTCTTTTTGGCAACAGTACACCCACTGCTTGCTTCATTACCATGACACTGCACCCCCGTAGGCAATAAATAAGTTTTGATAATTACATATTCAGAAAACTTGTAGATTTCTGACACTTCATTTCACTCTCCAGCAGCATTTTCCTTATAGATTTCTCATATAAAGAGAAAATTGCATTTGATGGCATCTGAAATTTAATGCTTTAAAATTTATTATCGATAGATTTTAAAATCATTTTATTCGATGAATTAAGAAGAAACCTTAGCCAATATATTGGTTTTAAACATGTTAGTTAGACATTTCCTTTCCAAATTCTTCAGTATTCGTGTAGTCAATTAGTTTGCTGTACTTTATTTTAAATAACTGAATTATTCTTGCATCCAAAGACTGATGTTCACATGTATGATTTGGTGGGAGAAAACACATTGTTCAAATTTGGAAAATCATACTTTGTTTAAGAAAGACACTAGTCGATGGAAAGGATTATTCGAAAATTCATGAAAAAATTATTTAAAAATCTTTAATTAATTGGTTTATTTTCAACGAAAAAAATGTTTAAAAAAATAGAAAATGTGTAAATATTTTACAGCTCAATTAGGATAAAATATTCGTTAAGGCGGTATCATTCTCTTAATATTTTTCAGAAAATGAAAAGTATTCATTAAAAATGAAAAATTTGTTAAATGACTGAATAAAAATTCATTAAATAGGGAAATGGACTGACATTCAAAACAATAATAATATGGTTAATGTTTAAACATACATAAATAGAGGTCTTCGCTGAAAACGATTACATCTATACATGTACAAAGAAGAACACGAAATAATTTTTAAATAACATTTTAATAATTATGCTTGCCATTTTAATTAAAATATATTTTTTAGCAAATGTCGTAAGTTTTTAATAAATATCTAAAGTTCCACATAAAACAAATGTAAATACATTAATTTGAAATTTACCTGTTCAAGAGAGCGAAGTATTTCTCTTAAAATTCCTCTGTTGGATGGAATAGATATGTGGACGGTAGGCCGTTTACCTGGTACTTCAATCTCGGTCAGCTAAAGCAAAATAAGAAATGCAAAAACAGAAAAATAAAATATATGCAATATGATAATTAAGCCTTTGAAATAACATTTAGGAATTTCTTATGTAATAATTAATAAGCAATTGGAAAATTATTTCTCATATTATATTTTCTTTAATATTTCAATAACTCATGAACTCAAGTTCAGTTTGTATTTAATTTCAATAAGAGATTCAGTGAATTCCAGCGGAAAAGGCATGTTCCTTCTTTCTGCAGCAGCTAAGAGTATTCTGAATGATTAAAGTAGCAGAATTAATTTACGATTCTGAAGAAATAATTCTGAATAATTAAAGTAGCAGTATTATTTACGCATCTGAAGAAATATGCTTAAAAGCGGTGTGCCCCTCGTTAATCTTTTATACCAATACGTAATTAAATCAATAAGTCAGAAAACGAAAATATCTCTTTAGCTTAATGTCCTTTGTTTGCTGTTAGAGAACTTCAGAATGCACTCCTATGTTATTAGAAACTCTCAAAAGAGACTGCACTCTTATGGAAGTAGAATAATAAAAAACCTAAATTATAAATATTACCCTTAATTACCCTTCCCCCCCAGTGGCCGAATGAGCAAGATTGTTCGTTGAACACTAGCATTTCAACCTGGCTCTGAATACCGGCAAACTCGCTGACTGTAGGAACCTTTCTATGCTTTCCTTAAGATATAAGTTGCATACAACCAGTTTTCCTCAGAAAGTCCTCCACGAAGGCATCCTTCTCCTTAAGCAGACACCCCTAATTTATTTTGTCATAATTCGATAATCTAATCCTATCCGTTCATGATCATAAACTATGAAAAGTTATATATCAATTCAGTACTAATATGATTTAATTCAGTAATGTTATGGTTCGCCCACCAGCGGCCGAGCGCTGGTGAAGTCGTTGAACACTGCTAGTTCGATATGGTTTTGTTTTTCGTCGGATGAACTAGGCATTTTCGTGGCTATCCCCATATATAACGCGGATACCAGCCAGTTCCCCTTAGAAATTTCTCCCAAAAGCATCCCTCCCCTTAGGCAGCATTGCTCTTGTGTGCTTTGCCATAATCAAATAAATCAAATCAGTAATGTTATGATAATATTATGATTTGTTATCTGCTCAGTAAAGTTATACAGTTTATGATATTTTATGATCAGCTGTATGGAATTAAGTACTGTTAGAAAGTATCTTAAGTTATCTAAAGTTAAGCACAGTAAACATACTAATTTGCCTTCAAATATTGCATGAATTCAGACTCATTAACTGAGTGCAGATAAGTGGCATAAAATATACATGTTTTTATATACACACAACATTTTAAGTTTGAACTAGCTAAGGATCAATACCAATGATAACACGTATCGGCAAATAAGATTATTCATCACCATTTATTTTGTGAAGCGTATTTTTCTCCATAGCAACAATAGAATATGCATCAATTATCGTTGTTTCCGGAAATGCGAAACAAGCATTATTTCTTACTTATACCTTTAAGCTACGGGTTTTTCTGGCTGAATTTTATTTATTTTACTGAAAGTTTAAATAAACGTTAAATAACGTTTACATAAACATCACCTAACAAAAACTTGATTCTCAAACTTATGCTTTCAACTTAATGTCTTTCATAAATGTCCATCTTTATAGTGTGTTCAAATGTTATAAATTTTCACACACTATGAAGTTAAATATTTATGAACTATCAGTATATATATATATATGTATGTATGTATGTGTGTGTGTGTGTGTGTATTTCATGTTTTATAATATATGTCAATATATATATATATGTTTTGAATTTCTTTCATGTCTTTGCAGATTTGGTTTTAATTTTCTTTCTTTATGTCTCTCTCTATATATAATAAGAATATTAAGGGAGAGACAGACTGATGAACGGACAGACAGATAAACAGACATATAGTTAGGTAGATAGGTATGCATATACTTAATGACAAAAATATTAGAATATCGATAATTGCAAACGTAATCTAACAACGTCATAGCACACGAACTGTACTCAAACCAAACGTAAACTGAGAATAAAAGAAAATCTGGACTTTTTAAAAGCCTACTACAATGAATGAAACAAATCTTAACAAATTTGGTCGAATACATATCGTAAACACTAGCTAGATTGATCATCTGTAGTGTTTGTTCACAAAGCAGTTGTTTGAAAGGTCTACGGAGGGTATACCGTTGACAGATGTATCAGCGATAGCCCAAGCATTAATTCAGGATGGGAGTTACAGATCATCCAAAGGCAACTATGGGGCGAACATACACAGGCTTAGTACTGGATACAGCACTAAGAGTTTCGATATCTGCTATTTATAACTTCAGTGGGAGTTATTAAAGGAAAGTATTGCACTTACTGTTTCCCGGAAAAAACAGCGTAGTAATTTAAATAATTGAGGAAACATTAGAATGAAGATGAATTGAAAGATTACTAACATGTGAAAATTAGGAAGATTTTGTTTTACATGAGAATAATTAATTACTCTTTAATTTATTTATAAACTATTTTGATAATTTGTAAGGTATTTATGTTAATTAACCAGTTGTTTAATGTTACGAATCTTTATTGTCACTTCTGCCTTTCCGTTTTTCTACCAGAATGCAAATTTATCTCACGTGTATTTAAGCCAGGATTTCAGGTTATTTTAGTCAGAGCGCTTTCCACCTATTGAAGGCCGCGTTACTAGTTGAAATTCTAGGATAGGATCTCTGTCTACGACGTTTGATTATTGTTGGATTGCTTTATTGTTGGAAATTGTACTGTCACGCCAGTGTAAGCTAAGGGCCAACTTTGCGCGTTTAAATATTTCTGCTTAGCCTTTGGCTGGTAAAATTTAGATTTAGTTTTAATTAGACACTCTACTTCTGAGTTTACGTCATAAATTCTGGCTGGTTTGTAAGCACCAGGAATGCCTTCTATTCAGCTTATTCGAGTCCTTAATAAAAGGGTCTTTTGCACCTTTAGTACGTTTCTGTTTAGTTACTTAGACATAGTGATAAGTCGCTTAGGTCTACTTAAGAGTCTTGACTTAGTCTATGTTACCGAAACAAATGAGACACTACGAACTGATAATTGGCTTTGTTTACGTGTAATGTGAATACGAGCCATTTTTCCTTAGGAAGTCCCTCACTAAGGCACCACACTTCTTAACTTTCATGTGCTTTGTCACAGTCAATTAAACACACGTTCTGTCCGATAAGAGTAGAGAAAAAAAGCATAAAGCTGAAAAAACTATTGAGTAGCTTCGGAGAAGCGCAAAAATCTAAGCCTAAAAGAGCCTAAAAGAGAACCATTAGATCTTCCAATTTTCCTAGTTGTGCTAACCATACAGCACAAAGACACGCAGGAGAGAAATGCCTTAATTCCTTAAAAAGTAACTAAAATATTCTAATATACTTTTTGATTTGCTATTTGCGTATTAACCTGTGCCATACCTTTATTTATTTATTTATTTTTTGCATTATATTGTGTACTAAATTTTTGTTCTGCATTTATTCTCTGAGCTTTTGAACAATTCCATAAGAAGGCATTCCTTTAGGAAGATAGCGGTCTTATGCGTTGGGGTAATCGATTAAAAAGAATTTCTTGGAGGTTAATTTCTATTATTCTTCTCTGTGAAAATAAACTTATTTACTTATGCTGGTCTGAAAATATAGGAAAAGGACAGATTATTATTACTTTCCTACAATGGAACACGCGATTGAATAAAAAGTAACGAACCGATAAACTACTTATAACTTTATAAGAAGAGCATTAATTTTATCGGGAGGAAAAAAGGAGAAATTCTGTGAACGCTCTCAGAGAAAGTCATAAAATATCACGGCCCAGAATTGACGCGAACAATTCAGAAAAATTTCTTGATTACTCTTAGAGCATTTTCAAAAAACGTACTAAGTAGTACTATAAATTAACGTACTAAGCATGTACTAAGTAGTACTATAAATACATTAGATCCGTGATTATCCGACTATTCAATTATCAGAAGATTATTATTTATAGAGATATTTGTAAAGATTCCAAGAACAGTTTGGGTATTAGACATGGATGTAATGACAGAAATTCACAGAAAATCTACTAATCGCTCTTTTCTTAAAGCTAGATAATTTAGTTTAGGAATCTCATAATTATCTTTCCTGTTTTCGGCTATTATATCCTGTTTCCATATTTATTATTCAAAGCTTATTTATTTTATTTAGTCTTCTCCAGGCTTTAAAGGAAGACGGAAAAAAATTTTTTTGATTGTATTATTATTAATTAGGGCATTTAAAACAGGGAAAGTGTTATAAGTTAAAAAGCTTTTTAATTTAGTTCTGGCTCCGAATTATTGGTGCTAAATTAAAGACATTTATCAATTGCTTAAGCAATATGATATAATAAATTAATTAACTGCGAAGTATAATGCGGAAACATTTAATTTATTGATATTTACGATGGATGTTAAAGATTTCTCTGCCCATTTTGTTCAAACATCTAATTCAATATTCGAAGTAATATAGTTAAATGTCTTTAGTTACCATATTATTGAAATAAATGAGATAATGTTTGAGAAGAAATAGGTTACTTGAAATACTATTAATATTTAAATATGACATTCTTATTATCCGAACAATATTATCCGAATCCGTTCTAGGCCTACTCAGTTCAGATGATCGAGATTTTATTGTAAGCGGCAAGAAATTAATAAACATTATGCTACATGAACTAATAGTTTTCTTCATAGAACTTATCAAATTAGGGCAAAGTACTAACGCTGTAACTCAGGTCCAAATTTTCATTTACCATATTTAGTAGACGCTTCATTAGGTGCAACCTCCCTTCCCACCGAAAATTCATGCGCATCAAATGTGTGTGTGTGATTATGGCAAAGCCTCGAGGGCTATCTGCCTAAGAGGAGGGATGCCTTCGTGGAGGACTTTCTAAGGGAAACTGGCTCGTATACACGTTACACATGGGGAAAACCACGAAAACGCCCATGCAGACAGCCC